CTGGTCGGAATGGAGCTGGACTGGGCTCCTAACCCAACCTCACCATTTACTGATGATACAGGCTGTGACTTAGCCCCAGAGCCCTTTCCATATCTGTAGAGGGAACATGTAGCTTTCTTTTATTGAAAGAATGAGAGAGAAACTTGAGGGGTCAGGGTGAGCAGAGTAAGGTATATGCTTGGGGTGCACAGTGTAAGAAAGCACCAAAACCTCTGTAATTAAGGTAAATAACACTGCAAACTTTGAGAGGTGATGTGTGTGCATGGCCTTGATGGTGGTGACAGCTTCATAGGTTTATTCCCAAACTCATCTGGATGCAGACATGAAATACATTCAACTCTGTATATATAAATTATACTTAAATAAAATAGTTAAAAGTAAGATGACTAGGGCAGTGAGATAGACAGAAACACTGTATTTATCTGTGATTTTGAAATAATGAAATTTACCAGAAACCATATTTTTATGAGTTGTTTTCTGGGTCTATGCTTATGGTATCTTTTCACCATTCAGAGGCAACAAAGATATTCTCCTATAAAAATAATATTCCAATGTGAATAGTTAGAAAACACTAAATTAATACAAAAACCCATAGTGAGCTAAATATCAGAATGTCAATGTTTGAATCAGTAAGAAGATCGAGCTGAGGCATCTTGGAGCAGGAATTCTGATCCTGTCTTTATTTGAAATGTCGATATTTTTTTCATTGTGATTTTTTTGCATTTATTTTGATTTTTAAAAACGTTGCATAGAAATATTGTTATCTTAAATACTGGTTTTGGAACCTCCCTTGCATTTTTCTTATTGAGGTGAGATGCGCACAACATAAAATTAACAGTCTTTAAGTGTGCAATTCACTGGCATTTAATACTTTCACAATATTGTGCAACCATCACCTCTATTTAGTTCCAGAACATTTTTATCACCACCAAAGGAGGCCCTATACTCATGAGCAGTTACTTCCCACCCCCTCTCCCCAGTCCCTAGCAACTACCAATGTGCTTCTTGTTTATGAATTTGCCTGTTCTGAATGTTTTCTATGCATTCTGGCCATAGAATCAAATATGGCAAGCTAATATATGACCTTTACTTTCACTCAGCATAATGTCAGGGTTTATCTGTGTCATAATATGGATCCTGCTGGGGTGCACAGTGTAAGACTTTGCATCCACTGTGAAAGCTTCATGCTTCTCAACTTCCTCAAGCCCTGAAGAATCACAGCTGTTACCTTTTGTCAAGCCCTTGGTATAGGCTTCACTTTTAAAATTGAGATATTATCCACATATAACAACATGTACATTTAAAGTGTACAAGTGTTGATTTGAAAATTTTAAATATTGTAATGTAATGTTAGTTAATGCTTACACCACATCATATAATTACCGTTTTTTCTTTATGGTGAGAACATTTAAGATCTAGTCTCCTAGCAACTTCGAAGTATTTATTGCAGTGTTGTGACTGTAATCACCATGTTCTGCATTAACTTACCAGAACATGTTTATCTTCTAGTTTATTTAAGCCTCATTACAACTCTAACGGGGTAATTCCTGCAAGTGCAAAGTCTCTGGACATTCCAATTTTACAGAAAGGGACACTGGAACTTGAAGAAACAAAGCCCCCAGTCCCAAGCTTCCAGAGCTAACAAGTGAGGAAAGCAAAATCCAGACTCAGGTACTGAACTCCAGGGTCCGTACCCTCAATACTGCTTATAGAGTGACAGGCAGTGCCTGGCAGAGGTGGTGCTTGACAGGTGCAGAGTAGCTTAGGCCATATCGACCCCAAAAGCACCTTGTTTGGGGTTAGACCAGTCTTTCTGAGCTGCTTCTCAAAGGCTTCCTAGTTGGGGACAAGTTGAGACTGAATTTACTGTGAACTCCTCCGGTTGATGCACGCTGCCCTCTTTCCAGGGTGCCGCCTGCCCCATTTGCTGTTCTGGTCACCTGGATTGTCTGTCCTCCAGATGGCCTCATAGGTCCCTCCCTCATCTTCTTTGGGTCTTTGTTCAAATGTCACTTTCATACCTAGACCTTTACTGGTTGCCCAAATAAAGCTCTTTTCTCACCTCCTACATATTCTTTTTCTGATGCTCGCCACCGCCCCGTCCCCCCAGGCTCATCACCCTCTGACAACAGTTTGCAGAGTGTGGCCTGCAGAGTCCTGGGGTATGATCTCCTTGAAGGCTTTTCAGAGCTCCACAAGGTCAAAACTATTTTCAGACCAATACTAAGATATCATTTCTCTTTTCCACTGTGTTCATCCTTGCACTGGTTGTACCAAAGCCACAATAGGTAACTATCATCTTAGCAAGAACCAAAGCAGTGACACCAAACTGTGCTAAGAGTTGTTGTCCTAGCACTGCCATCCATTCAACGTCAAAAAATGTCTGTTTTGCTTTAGCATGTCCTTTAGGAAACAATAAAAATTCATTTCTATTAAATCTCAGTTTTTGAGAAGAAATTTTGAATTTTTCTGATTTATTTATTTGTTTACTTATTTATGAGTTATCTTTGGGGATAATCTGTGGCATCTTTTTTCCATTCAGAGGCACTCTTCTATTAAAAGAAATAATATTCCAATGCCAATAACTAGAGAAACACAAAGTCAATGCAAAAATAACTAGGTAGGGCCCTGTGAGCCTATAGTCACAACGTTTTGTCAACCAATCAACCCCTAGCTCTGTTTCTGGATACAGATATTGCTTTTAATATACATTATTGATTCATTAACATTGAAGTCACATCCAACAGTCACAGCTTCAACAAAACTCATTTAACTAGGATATTTCTCTGTAAGGCACATCACAACCTTCTTGTAAAACGAGAAGGTAAAAAATGTGGCACTAAATAGACTGGAAAGGACATTTTCTATGGTATTAACAGCTGGAACAAGAAGTCAGAACACTGTCTGGTTTGATCTCGGCTGAAAACTCACACATGAACTACATCAAATTTTTCACCACTGTGCATGTCTGCCAATGGACACAAAAGTGCCCTGGGTTTTGATTTTGTGGTTACAAGTAAATTTTAGAGTAGGTGACAGCAAATGTGGAATGCTCACATGATAGAGATCATCCGTGTGAGAATTCACTTTCTTTTTATTAAGATAGACATTAAAGAAATTTTCAAAAGTGTAAAGAATTATCTTATCTCATAATTTTTTGATTGGGAGAATACAGCTATTTTTCATAAAAATACAGTAGGTAATATGTAATGAATTTACTGTTATTTAAAAATAAATATTAAACAATGTTCTCAGTTTTAATTTCTAATACAATAAAGATCAATTGGCATAATCTACATAGATAAAAACTCCATAATCTTTTTAATGAACAGACATAATTTTCTAAACTAGCTTTATATTTTCCAAAAAATTGAAAACAGTAAATTCCACACTTCCCAACACCTGAACTTTCTCCTATTATTACTATCTTCCACTAGTGCATACATTTTTTATAATTAGTGAACCAATATTGATATGTTAAAATTCATACTCTATTCAGATTTCTTCAGTTTCTGCCTAATCCTTTTCTGTCACAGGATCCCATGCTACATTAATCATCATGCCTCTTCTTTGCTGTGATCCCTTTTCATACTTTGTTTTTGATGACTTGACAGTTTTGATGAGTACTGGTCAGGTATAGTGTATGATGCCCCTCTATTGGCACTTGTCAGATTTTTCATAAATCATTAGACTGGGGTTGTTGGCTTTTGGGGGTTCCTCACTAATTTTTAGAGTGCAAAGGGGTTCTGAGCCTCAGTTGTTTGACAATCACTGGTATTTTATTATTTTGTGCAAAGGGGCAGCAGTGGCTCTGGTTTCTCCCCTGTTCACTCTACTGGGGCACAGTACATGCACAATAAATATTTATGGATTGAGAGACCACAAAACTAGGGTCTCAGAGGCAACTGTAGGCTCAGAGAAGGAAGCAGCAGCATTCATGCATGGCTGAAACAGGAAGAAGAAAGCCTCAGTCAGGTATGGTCCAGCAGAACCTGACATCTCGGGTTCAACTACACATTGAAATTACTTGGGGAGCATTGAAACCTATGGTGCCTGGGTCCCTGGGAAGCTGGTGGATTGGTCTGAGGTGTCATCTGGGCATCAGAATTTTAAAAAGTTCCCCTGGTGTTTCCAAGATACTGGAAAGTTTGAGAACCACCTACCTAGGAGGTGAGCTCTAGTTGTAGGACAGCAAAATGGAATTAAGGTGGTTGATCCCTGGCTGTGACTTTGGGCAAGTTACTGAATCTTTGTAAATGCTTGTCCCCTCATCAGCAAATGGATGTAGGTGACAACTACTTCATATGTGCACAGTTTAAATATAAATCAAAAGAGGCTTCCTAGATTAGGAAGTGGCAACCATAGCTCCAGAACAGCAACATGAGAAAATAAGTTTTGAGTTGTTATTACCTGCTCAGCTCTTTAAAATGGCAATTAGCTTTCATGAGAGGTGGGAGATGTTGAAAACAACCAAGTCAGTGCCCTTTGAAGAGAAGCAGGACAAACATTTCTCAGAGTACACTAAAGATAGCAAAGAATAATAACAGAAATTGCAATGCTAACAGCAATTATTCATCTTCCATTTGCACTGTGCTTTACACCGCACGGCGCATTTTCTCACTAATGTACTTTAATTTTCGGTTTTAATTTTCCGTGGGGTCAGCTCTCACATCCGTTCAGAAGAGGAGGCCAGGCTCAGCGGAGAGGACTGCCCCAGGGCACCCGGCAGCCAAGTGCCCAGGGCCGGAATGTGCACCAGAGGGAGAAGCGGCGCAGAGGAGCCCACGCGGTGACCGCGGTCTCCAGGACGCTCGCGCCCAAGCCTTGCCCAGACGTCCGCGGAGGATGCGGGTGCGGGCCTGGCAGAGCCAGGGCCTGTCGTCTGTGCTCTCTAGGGATGTTCAGGCCTCAGGAGGGCTCTGGAGGAGGCGGCGAACGGAGGCTCCGCGGCTGGAATCTGAGCTGGGGGCGGGGGCTGGGCCCACTCCGCCCACCCTATCCCCCCTCCCTCCCCAAACACGCGTTTCCCTTTCTCCCGCGCGGCTGCCAGCCCAGGCTGGGTGCAGGGGAGGCGGGGGGCATCCCGGAGGGGATCCCGCCCCCTCCCCCGGCCTCCTGGTGCCCCCGCACCCACGTGAGTTCAGGGCCAGCCGGGATCCCACCAGCACACAGCGCGTGCCGGCTCGGCGCCGGTGCCTCTGCCGTCCGGTTCCCTCGCCAGCGCAGCGCGATCCCTGGCGGGTCTCAGCTGCCCGGGCCGGGCGCTTCGCCGGGCTCCGGCTTCTGCATCCGGCGGTAGCCAGTAGGCCGAGGCGCGGGCAGGCCGCCTCAGCCGCTCCGAGTGTGGGTGAGTGAGGAGCCCGCGGGCCCTTGCGTGCTGGGGCGCTGAGGTTCTGGGCAGGTGGGATACGAGGCTGGCTTGGTCCACCCTAGGGTCAGGTGATGGAGCGCCCTATGAGTCCACGTTCCCATCTTTCCGCCGCCCTTTGTCTTAGCGGCTCCCAGCCCCACCGCTCAAGTACGGTGTTGAGCAGGTGAGTTCCTACCACAGTAGTTATCCTGGGGTCTCCCTACCCATCTCCTCTCTCCATCCTGTCCCTCTGTCCTTGGCCCTAACTCCTGGCTGTTTGCCATCTCTGTGCCTGATGTCTCCTTTATTTCTAGGACTCAGTTCTCTTCCCTACCAGGGGTTTATTCCTTCAGTCTTGAGGGAACAGGTCTTGATGGAGCCTTTGGCTGCCCCTGAGGGTGACCCGAGATCCGAAGTTGTGAGCGTGGTTGTAGTGCAATGTGCTGGTGTGTGCTACTGAATTTATAAGCGGGGTTGACTTCTCTAAGAGTTGTGTGGGATTGCATGTTTGCATGTGGGAATGGATTAGAATGGCTGGAGTTTTGTGCAAAGGTGTGTTGTATGTATAGGAATTATGACAACCACGGTATGGAGTCCTGTATAACAGGCATTTGTGCAGGGTCTGGAAGGTGTGTGTGGAGTTGTGTGTCTGTTTTTGTGCATGAATGTGGTATGTGTGCATATCTGTGTATGTAGGAATTATGTGTCTGATGCTGAGTGAGCAGAGTTGCATTTTTAAGTGTGTGCATTTCTGAACTGTCCTTGTGTGTGAATGTGTCTGTAGTTATGTATATGTCAGTTGCGCCCAAGATATGTGTGGATGAGTATTCAAGTGTGTGTGATGTGATGTGATTTTCTGTCTATCTTTCCTAGTAGTCCTCTGGCAAGCAGAGTGTTGAGATAAAATGTATGGAAACATGTTTGTTTTGTCCAAGGTAGCTTCAGCTTTTGAAGGGAAGAGGTCCTTCCTTTCTTTCTCTTGGCTGGAGGGGGCAGCCAGCACTTTTCATCTAAGTCTGGAGGTTGGGGAAACCAGGGAGCTATCCATCCTTGAACCCCTGCAGAGAGTGGGTATCCTAGAAGGACCACTTCCCCAGCAGAAAGCTTTAGAAGTAGGGCCAAGAGAAGGTCCAGGACCAGGAGACACCTGAAAAGAGTGAATCCAGGATGAGGGGAGAAGCCCATGGAGGTCCATGAGAGGCTGAGAAAGGACCAAGTAGAAGCCAAGCTCCTGACAAGTAATGCAGACAGGACTGGGAAACTGAAAGGAAGACAGCCTCCCAATTCAGCATTTTCCTCTGTCCTCAATTGTATCTGTTGGGTCTGAGCTTTTTTATTAACCATTGTAGATATTTATTTCATGCTCACCAGGCGCTGTTCTAAGCGTCACATGAATTGGGTCATCTGAGCCATACACAAAGTGACCAATTCCTACAAGGAAGTGGGTGGTTTAAAATAAAGAGCTTAGGTATGCTCTTCTTCTAGGCCAGAGTTGGCATATTTTTTTCAGCAGAGAGCCTGAGAGATTATAAAGGCTGCAGAAATTGCAGTCTTTATAGTCTTTGTCTCAACAGCTCAACTCAGCTGCCGTAGCAGGAAAGTGGACTATAGATAATACCCAATGAATGGGAATGGTTGTGTACCAGTTGGTACGCAGCTGAACACCCCTGTGGGAGCCAAGTTACCTCATTATACTGTGACTAGCTACATACATCCTAGAGGAGAGGGTGTAATTGTGAGTTTCCTGTGTAGTCTGTGATCTTGTATCTGGTCTTGTATCACATCAAGAGGTGGGAAGCAGCACTGTGATTTCAAGAAATGGATCCATTTGGAGCAGGACCCCAACTGAGGTTCAGCATTGGGAACCAGGACTTTGACCTGGAGGAAATAGGGTGAAAGCTGAGGTAGATGTCCTATTCCTTGGCGATGGGGGAGCAGAGGAGGCCAAGGAAGACAGTTACCTCAGAAAAATAGCTGTTCAGCCTGTGACAGAAAAAAATAATTCCAGGTACCTATCAGTTGGTGGAACTGAAACCTCCAAAAGTCTTCCAGTTTTCACCAGTGTAAATTCAGGTGCTGGGAGTGGGGGTAATGGGGGTGCGTGATGCAAGGAGAGAAATCAGAAGCTGTGATCCCTCAGAGAGTAGCTGGGGAAGACCACATTCTTTTAGGTGAACAATTCCAGGAAAATCAAATATGCAGAGTCCTGCACAGGTGACAATATTTCCTGTCTTCCTTTGGTCTGGAGTTTTTTTCTTTCTTTCTTTCTATTTTTAAAGATTTATTTATTTATTTATACAAGCACTGGGTATAGTCAGAAGCGCGGGAGGGTGAGAGAATTCACCAGAGCCAGAGAGGAGAGCAGAACAGGCACACTGACGAAATATACTGCTGAGGGGAGCAGCGGGCGGCAGGCGAGGTCTGTGCGCCATGTGGGACCCTCGCCTGGCGGCTGGGGATCAAACTGGTGCTGCAGAGGCGGCAGGCAGTTTTGCAGCCCAGCACTCAACCGCTGAGCCACCTGGGAGGCCCTGGAGTTTTTTTCTAAGAGTGAGTGCAGGGTTAAGGGAAACCAGTAGAGTTGGTGTAGCACTTAGGGACCAGTTGGAATCGGAGGGTACACGGAGGGAGCAGGACAGGGCCCACGTGGCTGTACCAGATGACTTTTTTTTTAAATGCAAATATTATTAACATAAAGCATTGTTTAAATTTAAGGGGTAAAATATAGTTTTATTTATTTTTTTAATCATGAAGGACTCCACAAAGGCAAAATTTCCTCAGGTCCATGAAAGTCACATTTCCAAGCTGCGTTTTTCACATATGAAATGTTTAGTTGAAAAAGGATAGCAGGTTTTTATTTTTATAATACATGTTATTTGATGTGTATTAAAATAGAATTAACATTTCATGTTATCACCCAAAGCTTCCATTTTAGATACATTTATTTAGATAACAAGGCCACATGGATATGGCTGAAGGTAAAGAGGAGACACAAAGTATGATATTTGGGAAACAGTGCCAGGCACCCTGGAAAGAATTCTGAATATCATGTTTCCCTTCCAAGACTGATGCTGAGGAACCACTGGGGACAGGGATTGTCAGTTTCCTTCTGGAGGAACTCTTTCCTCTCCCTGTTGCACACCTGGACATTCAGGCAAAGCAGCTACATTCATTTGGCACCCACTGTTTGTGAGGCACCTGCCATTTAGTTGTTGTGGAAAGTTCACTTGGCAGCACCTCCAGGCCAGACACTAAACTATTAATTTTGGGGACTTGCTGTAAGGTACAATGGCTAGGGCTCTGCATGCAGTTGGCACTCAGCAGAGGTTTGTTTGGCTTGTGAACTGGGACAGTCACCAATTGCTTGTGATGATCTGAAATAACCATAGGGCTGGAGTCAGGGAATGGCAAAACCATCCATCACATTTTGGTGTCCTTCACTGTCTCTCCCCATCCATGCCAGGAGGTGATTAAGAAACCTTGATCCCTTTTTGTTAGGACTTGACTCTGAAACCCCAAGCAGAGTACCCCTCTCCTCAGTGTCTAGGTGCTTGCTGAGTTCCTCCACTCTTCCCCTTCTGCCGGCACCCTTCTGTCCCGCCCTTCACCAGGGCTTCTCTGTCCTGTGCAGATAGAAGATGAGCAGCCACGGAAACAGCCTGTTTTTGCGGGAGAGCGGACAGCGGCTGGGCCGGGTGGGCTGGCTGCAGCGTCTGCAGGAGAGCCTGCAACAGAGAGCGTTGCGCACACGCTTGCGCCTGCAGACCATGACGCGCGAGCATGTGCAGCGCTTCCTGCGCAGGAATGCCTTCATCCTGCTGACCGTCAGCGCTGTGGTCATCGGTGAGTGGGCTGGAGGGGCGGAGACCTCAGGAAAATTCCCTGCACGCTCATATCTTTACTCCACCCACTCATTTTTTTTCGCATGCGCACACATCCCACCACCCACCCTCTCCTCCTCCTTCCCTGTAAGGACACCTTTACACAAATGGGTACGGTTGTGCAAACACAGCGGTTTGTGGCCACAATGACACATGTGTATGCACATGCGCATACACACGTGTTTCCACGACACACACACTTTCTTCATATGGACACACAAACATGAACATGTTTTTTTGCATGCACAAAACTTACAGGTGCAAACATGTAAACCATATACACGCACGTAAAACACATTCAGATATGCAGTGTATTCCTCTGCACACACATTGGCATATTTATGAGGTATAATGCACATATGCACTCATGTTTGAAAGTGGTCACAAATATGTACAAGTCACGTCTAGATACACATAGGAAAAACATGTGAATCTCATGTGTAGGAGACCACACATATAGTCACAGATACAGTTGCACAATGAGTGTATGCATGTACACATGTATACATGAATGTGTGCATATACATTCATTTACACATATCCACATGGTAACACAAGTCATACATTTCTACAGTACACACACACACACACGCACACACACAGACCCATGCTCTCATAGGACATTTCTCTCACCTCCATGGTGCACACTCATCTTCGGACAGGTGATCTCTGGTGCTGAGTGACCCAAACTTAATGCCACTGACCCCTGTTCTTGGCCATAGGGGTCAGCTTGGCTTTTGCCCTACGCCCTTACCAGCTCACCTACCGTCAGATCAAGTACTTCTCTTTTCCTGGAGAGCTCCTCATGAGGATGCTGCAGATGCTGGTGCTGCCACTTATTGTCTCCAGCCTGGTCACAGGTGAGAAAGCCCAGAATAGTGTTGGCTCCAGCATGCACCAATCTGGAGTCAAAGCAAGACCCCAAACTCGGGTCCTCAGCAAACTCAGGACCTCAGAACCCCCATCCCAAAACTCTCTAACTCTCAAACTCAGGACCTCAAACATGGAGCACACACCTACCCTCGAGTCTGTGATCAAAGCCTAGATCCTAATCAGATGCAGGTTCCAACCCCCATATTACCTATACCACGTATTTTAGTCATTTCCTGTACTTTTCTTTGGAGGTAAAGACTGGCCTTCCAGGAATGTAATATCCAGCGGTGACAGAGCATTGTGGGCAGCCAGGGAAGGCAGCTGGGATATGCTGTAGGTGATCAGTGGGTAGGATGTGGATGAAGTTGTTTGAGATGGAGGTGATGAGAAGGTGACTGGGAGTGGGATGGAAATATAGATGTATTATACAGCGGTCACCAAAATTTTTCTGTTAAGGTCCATATAGAAAAGAAAACAGTTTAGCTTTGGGGCCATAAGGTCCGTCTTGACCACTCAGTTCTGCTCTTGTAGTGCAAAAGCTGCTGTAGAGTAATGTGTGAACAGATGGGGTTGCTTGTGCCCCAATAAAACATTATTTACAAAAATAGGTTATGGGTCAGATTTGGCTCCTCAGTGGTCAATTGCCAATCTTCAGAATGGGATGTGAATGAAGATAAAGACATGGAAGTATGGCTTCATGGGTTGGTTTTCCTGCAGGCAGAACCTGAGCTGGGGATAGCTTTCAAGGGAAACCCATGAAGAAGTGAGGCAAGCAGAATGGGGCAGGGAAAGAAGCTAAGCTGAGATGTGGGTTCAGAAGAAGGCTGGCCTCTTAACTGGCCCCCTGGACAGTGCTCTGGAGCATGAGCAACACTACAGAATCGATCCCTACCACTGCCCCCTACCTGAGTCAAAAGAGATGGAATTTTGGAATCCTGTACTAGGCAGTCATTGGCCATAGATTTTTAAAATTTTTTTTAAAAAGATTTATTTATTTATTTATGCATACAAGAACCGGAGTACAGGCCAGAAGTGTGGGGGATGAGAGGATTCACCAGAGACAGAGTGGGGAACAGAACAGGCAGATTGAAATACACTGCTGAGGGCAACAGTGGGCGAGTCAGGAGGTCTGCTGTGCCATGTGGGTGGTACCCTGGTTGGGGATATAACTCGTGTTGCAGTGGCTGCGGATAGCTTCACAGGTTGTTTCTTAATCCCTTGTGCCACCAGGGAGGCCCTTAGCCATAGATTTTTTTTTCCCATGGGGTAATTCTTTAGAGGAAGGACAGTATGAGCTGTTAGCGGCCAATACACTCAGCAGCTGAAGGCTAGGTGTGTGGCCTGGTAGAGGGCACTGAAATAGGGCACTGAAAATATCTATACTGGATAATGTGCAGCGAGGGAGTAGGGCTTTTGGGAGTGAATAGCAGAATGATGAGTAGAATGAAAGTGAGGTTATGGTGCAAAATAGGGGTAAATGAAGGATGGGGTGGGCGTTGAAAATGTTGGCTTGGAGTGGAGGGAATGTTAGCGAAGTAGTGCTTGGGGGAAGGAATGGGATGGAAAGTGTATATGGTAAATAAAATGGGGGTTAGAGAGTGATGATATGGGTGCGAAGATTGTCATGAGGGAGCCGGGTGGGGTGTAGGAGGAGGAAATATTTGGTGGAATGGTTATTGAGTGGGTGGTGTGAGGGAGGGTGGAGCAGTTGGATGGGAGAGTGGGGGCGGGGTATGGATGGGGCTGTCTTCCACATGGAAGACCACTTGTCTTCCAGGTATGGCTTCCCTGGACAACAAGGCGACAGGGCGAATGGGGATACGGGCAGCTGTATACTACATGGTGACCACAGTCATTGCCGTCTTCATTGGCATTCTCATGGTGACCATCATCCATCCTGGGAAAGGCTCCAAGGAGGGGCTGCATCGTGAGGGTCGAATTGAGACCATCCCCACAGCTGATGCCTTCATGGACCTGGTCAGGTGATGTATTTTCTAATTTTGATGGGAATTTTCATCCTACATACAACAACCCTGCTTAAGGAGAGGCAAAGGGGATAAGCTGACCTAGCCTGGAAATGACAGCACCCAAATCAAGCCTAGTTTTATAGGGACCCATTTTCTCCTTGGAGAGCAGTTGACTCCTAGGATGTGATCTTTTGACCCTTAGGCTGCTTAATGGAGACTTTCATTGAAGCATCTTGGGATGGGCTTAGAACAGGTGATATTTGGGGAGTGAACGATGCTCTTACAACAGCAAGACTTTGCCAGCCAGAGTCAAGACTAGCCATAATTCTACCCTAGTCATCGACTTAGGGAGGATTGGGAGTTGGAGGAGTTCAGGAGCTATCTATTGTTTTTGAAGCACACATGTGAATTAAATTGAGTAGGTCCTATGTTAGGGCTCAGATAGACCTGCATTTGAGGTCCACCCACACTCCATAGGAGCTGTGTAGTTTTGGGTAATTTACATAAATTCTCTGCACTTTGGTTCCTAGGTGCATAAAATGAGGGACATTGAGAGTACTCATTTTTGTAGTTATTACAGTATTAAAAACAGAACTTACAGGTAAGGCATTTAGCTCAGCTTCGACTAGAGTAAGTGTTCTATTGTTGACTCCCATTATTATTATTGTTGTTATAATTATTACTGTTCTCTCCCTATACTCCCTTCCAAGGTCTAACTGCTTTCCTTCATCTGATGTTTTTCTGCAGAAATATGTTTCCGCCCAACCTTGTGGAAGCCTGCTTCAAACAGGTCAGAAAGAAGTATATATTGAATAATTTCATCATGGAGGCTTGGAGGGTGGGGGAGTTTGCTGCTGAGAGAATGGTTCAGAGGTGAGGGGTGGAAAGAAGGACCCCATGGCACATTAGGCTGGAGATTTTGGAAGAATCTGGGAAAATGAATGCATTTCTGATTTGTGGGATAATCAGCTTACATGTCACCTCTTCCACAAACTCCTCCTTCAACACTCACAATTAAGTAATGCCACTCAGAGAAGGACTTAGGAGAAGGGCTGCCTGGAAGTGGTACTGGAAGAGGAACCAAGGTTTCTGACCATAGATGGTGGAGGTGGCACACCCCAAACACTGTCTGTACTTTGCCCAGGAGTTTATACTCATTTCCCCATGCACATTGTTCACACTATCATTCATTCATCCACTCACTCATTCTTCAAAGCATTGGTGAAATCATTCATTCACTCATTCAGATAAATGAAATAAGACTCTCCAGAGTGTGGGAATCAGGAATTGATGCTCTAAAGAAATTTCTCCAGGGGATTCTGATGCATCCACTGAATCAAATTTGGGTCCAATCTCTTCATATTTCAGTTTAAGACACAGTACAGCACAAGGTTGGTGACCAGGACCATTGTGAGGACAGAGAATGGATCAGAGCTGGGTGCCTCCATGACTCCTCCATCCTCGGGGGAGAATGGAACCAGCCTCCTGGAAAATGTCACACGAGCCTTGGGAAGCCTGCAGGAGGTGTTGAGTTTTGAGGAGACTGTACCTGTGCCTGGCTCAGCCAATGGCATCAATGCCCTGGGTCTCGTTGTCTTCTCTGTGGCCTTTGGGCTGGTCATTGGCGGCATGAAACACAAGGGCCGAGTCCTGCGGGACTTCTTCGACAGCCTCAATGAGGCTATTATGAGGCTGGTGGGCATCATTATCTGGTGAGTGCTGAGCTCGGAGGGTGGTGGGTGATGGCGTGAGGGAGGGATGGAGCCAGGTCTGGAAAGTCAGGCTGTGGGCAGTTGCTGAATGGGTTGTTAGAGTCATTCATGTATGTCTTAATTAATTCACTCGTTAATTCTTGCACTCTTTCTCTTATTCATGTGTACCTTTCTGTAATGATTTACTCCCTATTCACTCTCACTTCTTGTCCATCTAGTCATTCACTGATTTATTTGTCCCCATTCTTCCATGATTTATTCATTCATTCACTCATTCCCTCATTCTTCTATTGATTGGCCAAATCATCCACTCACTCATTTATTCCTTTATATTTATTCTTCCATACATGGTTTCACTCATTATTTCATTCATTCATTCTGCTATGTGTTGGCTAATCTATTCCTTCATACATTTATTTACTCAAAATAATTTATAAACTCATCCATGGTTTCTTTTCTTCCCTCTCTCTTTCCTCCCTCCTATCCTTTCTCCTTTCTTTCCTAAATCATTTATTCATTAGGATTTACTCTTTGATCCACTTATTCATCTTTGCATTTGTTACTCTTTCATTCACTCAGTCCCTATATTTATTCATCCATTCATTAAACACACTTGTTCATTTACTCACCTACTCATTCATGTCTTATTTGCTCATTTTATTACTCATTTACCCACTTGCTAATTATTTCTTAGTTGATGCATGCATTCTTTCATTCTTTATATACCTTCATTCCTTCAACAACTCCTTCACTCATTCAGCAGACACTTTTCAGGCTTTGTCTTGAGCTCTGGTCTATAGAGATACTTTGAATTAGTCCTTGTCCCCAGGTAGCTTGCAAAGTCTCAGAGGAGACAGACACAAACTAGATAAATATAATATGGTGGACTAAGGTTCTGTAGTCAAGAGGCACTTAAAAAGTGTTGGGAACATGGGAGAACAGCTAGTGGAGGAGTATGTAGTGAACTGTGCCTCAGAAGGTGATGGGGAAGTCATCTCTTAACTAGGCCTTGAAAGGTGACTAGGAATCCAACAGTACAGGAAGAGGGGAGAGATGAGAGAAGGAAGAGACTATGCGAGCCTGAAAAAAACCTGAGTTGTTCGGAGAATGGTGAGGAATTCAGGACTGGGAGCATAGGATAAGCTGGGAGTGGTGGTGGGAGATGTTAACAAGATTCTGATTCCAAATGGGGTAGACTTTGACATCATCCCAAATAATTTGAAAGTTGTGTAGGGGGGGAGTAAAGGCCAAGTTGTGAGTTTGGAAAAGCAATTGAAGGCAATGAGAGTGGAGGCTTATTTTGATAAACAAGAAGATTGATAAGGAACAGTGAAGGCTTAACCGAATTGGGGATAATAAATTTATAGTGTCATTTGTATGGTTGGAATGATTAGAATATCCAGCTGTGCTGGGTGGGTGAGTATAGGAGGAGAGATGTCATGTACAACTGATCCAAGGTTGAGGAATTTTGCAGAGGACAGGGAGGAAGGGTGGAGGTGATGGGTTGGGACTGGGGTTCACAGAGTTATCAGAGAGGTAGACCTAGACTTGGAGAGATCTTAGCAGCAACTGACCTGGGCTAATCCTAAGCCTGGGAATACAGATGTTACTGGAGAAGTCTACCACATTCTCATTCTCATAGCCTTACGTCTTATCATTTCTGATTCAAGCTATTATCCCAACTTCCCAAATGGTCTCCTCCTCCTCTACTTTGAGGATGACCAAGGGTATACTTGAATGTATAAAGAAAGGAATTACAGTTGAAGCCAGTGATGGGTGAATGATGGTACCGAGGGCAGAAATTCACAAGACTAAGCAATAGGCTGGTTTGTGGGGAGACTAGGTGATCCCCCGATGAACTTACTTGTTCTTTCTCCTCTGCTCTCCTTTTCACTTATTGCTGTAGCCACACTGGTCTCTGTTCCTTCAATATTTCTAGCTGAGAGTCCTCATAGGGTCTTTGCACTGTACCTGCAATGTTTTCCCTTCAGATATGCCTGGTGTATTCTCATCAATCAGGTCTCAGCTTACATGTCACCTCTTCCACAAACTCCTCCTTCACCACTCACAATTAAGTAATGCCACTTAGTGATTCTTTTGCAATATGCCAAACAAAGTTTTTAATTGTGTGTGTTTATGTGAACCATCAGTTTTTCCATTAGAATGTAAGCACCCTGGGGGCAAGGACCATGCCCCTGGAACATAGTAGGTGATCAATAAATAGTTGTTGAGTGAGTGAATAAATAGATGATGTGATAAGACAGCTTGCATATGTCCATGGGAAATTCAGATGAAGTAGCTCAAGGCAAATGAGAATTTGCTTTTATAGGAAGGACAACAAATACAAAGCAGAGAGCTGTGAGCAGCAAATAAAGGAAGTTAGAAAGTCAGAGATAGGGAATGTTTGGGCAATATCAAGGGAAAGCACCCTGAAAACAGTGATTGTTTAGGAGTTAGGGCTTATATGGGGGAGTGGGTAAAGGAGAGACCTGATAAAATTGTATGCTCTAGAGTTGTAGGAACTTTTTGCTGTCTGGGGGTGAGCTTTGGATGAACAAGAAGAGGAGTTGGGATATATTTGTGCTGCCCAGCCCCATTTGTCAATATATGGGGAAGATTCAGGTGGAGTTGAGTGGTAAGTATGGTGGGCACTACCTGGCTCCTGGGTCTTATATGGGCAGTGCCTTGAGGTTGCCAGCTTTAGGTTTGTAGTGGTCATGAGGGAGCCCTGATATGTGTTTGACATGGCCCAGGTATGCACCTGTGGGAATCCTGTTCCTGATTGCTGGGAAGATCCTGGAGATGGAAGACATGGCTGTCCTCGGGGGTCAGCTGGGAATGTACACCCTGACTGTCATCGTGGGCTTGTTCCTCCATGCTGGAGGTGTCCTGCCCCTCATCTACTTCCTCATCACTCACCGGAACCCTTTCCCCTTCATTGGGGGCATGCTGCAGGCTCTCATCACTGCCATGGGCACATCTTCCAGGTATGTCTTATCTTCCATCACTGGTACCTTCAAAGTTGACTCTGTCCTTCATGGGCTCTCCTAGGAGTCCTACCACCATGGCCCTCCACCCCAAATCCTGAACTGTGTTGTCAGTGCCTCTAGAAGGTCTCCAGTGGCTCAACACCTGGGCACTGATCTCCTGTCCCCCTTTTCTTCTTTTTCTATTTCATATGGAGAACTAACTGCTGATTTTGAGGTATGGTAGTTTAGAATCTAACCTGCCCCAATTCTCAGTCATTTTTTAGCTCAGAGCATCTCATCTCTTCTTGAGATGGTCTCTGGGAACTCTCTTGGCTTCTTTCTTTTTTGGGGTAGTCTAAGGGATTTATAAAGAGTTATACTTTTCTCCATCATCCAAATTCAAGACAAATTAAAAAATATCACAGGAGTCAACCAGGTGAAGAAAACTCATTTTTATTGTCCATAGTGCTAATTGGAGAATATGCTTTTTCATCTTTGGCCAAGTAGGGCTGGTACTATTGAACCCAATATTGAACTCACCTAGTTACCACATGATACCAAAAAGCCTTTTCTGTGGTCTTGGCTTCTCACTGCATGATAAAGCAGACAATATAAATGTTTTATAGACAGACTCACCCCAAATCAAATGTCCACTCCTTTGACTAAACTCAACAATCAATTAAGCCACTCCTCCTCCCTTGGGAAGTGGTGGGGAGAGGGACTGAGAGGGTTAATATAGCTGAAGTCACTCCCCAAAGCAAACATGGGGAGTGGGAAATAGAGTCCTCTGTGATGTCACTTACTTAACCCTTAGGGGTGGGAAATCACCAGACCCTTAGTCCTCTTCTTTTTGGGAATAGACTTTTAGAGTGAACTGGTTGCATGAACTAGTGTCTAGTAATTTGCCTTAGCTAATGGCTTTAAGTGGGTTAGCCTGGGGGACCCTCATCATTCTCTGCTTCTTATCCCTCTTCTCCATGCACAGTTAACAGCCTCTGAAGTGGGAGTCACCTGCCATCTTCCCCTTGTTCTGGCTCCCACCTCACTGCCCTCCTTTATCCACTGCTGCTGTAGCACGTTCCCAGCTCTGGGTTTCTCTCCCCCAGCTCTGCAACACTGCCCATTACCTTCCGCTGTCTGGAAGAGGGCCTGGGTGTGGATCGCCGTATCACCAGGTTTGTGCTGCCCGTGGGGGCCACTATCAACATGGATGGCACTGCCCTCTATGAGGCCCTGGCTGCCATCTTTATTGCCCAAGTCAACAACTATGAGCTCAACCTGGGCCAGATCACAACTATCAGGTGAGGTGTCATGGGTGGTGAGATCTGAAAAGTTATTAGTTTGGCTAGCAGAGGAAGGAACTCCAGGTCGTGGCCAAGGGATGCCTTGGATGATGGAGGGGGGATGTATGGAGGCTCCAGTTGCCTATCTGGATGAGGCTAAAGGTGGGAGTTTGTAACCTGAGACTATCAGAAGCTGGCAGTATTTTCAGCCAGCTCATCTCTCACATGCTATTGTGGGAAGCACTTTGCTAGTATTTTCCAAAGCATGACTGATGCATTTAATTAATTTATTTATTTTTTAAGATTTATTTATTTATACAAGAACTGGGGTACAGGCCAGAGGCATGGGAGGGTGAGAGACTGAGTGGGGAGTGGAACAGGCAGACGGACTGAAAACATTGCTGAGGGGAACAGTGGGCGAGACAGGAGAGGTCTGCTGCACCATGTGGGTAGCTCCCTGGCTGGTGGGGAATTGAATCCGTACTGCAGAGGCTGTGGACAGCTTCACAGTGCTGCTGTCAACCTGCTGCACCACCAGGGAGGCCCTGACTGATGCATTTTAATAAACTGAAGTTTTTGTTGTAAATATGGCTTTCTGACCTAGAAGTTCCAATTAAGTTCCAACTTATACCTAGAAGTTCCAATTTAATTATTATATAAATAATAGAAACATGATCCTCTCCTTCAGGGCTTTGCACCAATGTTATCCGTTCAGGGACGTGTTCCTTCAATTACCTATTTTAAATAGCACATCTGGACTTTTGTAGGCTGAACTATTTCCCCATTGCACCATTTGCCTTAGTATGTATTTTACTTATTATTCTTGCTTATTGTCTTCCTTTCCTACTAGAATATAAGCTCTATTCAGGCAGGGGTTTTCTTTTATGGGGATTTCTATTAGGTGTCTAACATGTAGTAGATGCTCAATAAATATGAGTTGAAAGAAAAAATTTATTGAACTGTCTTGTGTAAAGTGCCTTTGTATTCATTCATTTGATCTTCATGACATTCTCCAAGGTGGGTAAAATATTCAGTATTGATTTAGAGAGGAAGAGGTGGAAATCCAAGGCAAATTAAGTTACTTGCCCAAGGTCACATGATGGAAAGAGGTAGAACCTGAGTCTTGATTACTGAACTAGTGCTGGTAATGACAGTATGAGATGGAAGGGGAGGTAGATGACGAGTGGGAGGAAAGAACATATGTTCAAGGAAACTGGGCTTGGAAGTAGGGGTTTGTGTGGGCCATGGTTGAGATTCTCTTGCCCAGGTGAAGGATCTGAGTCATCAGACGCTGCCTTCTTCTGCTCACATCTGCCTGTCCTGCTCACACTCTGGCTGCATGAAGTCCCTGAGACTCATGGGACTGGGGTTCTCATTCTCCATGGCTTCTCAAAAGCCTCACAAGTATTGGTTATTGGGGAATAGCCTCTTGTTCAGTCAGCCAGAAAATATTTGTCACGTTATTACTGATTAGATCCCAGGCATTGGAAATAGGACTTTGAGCCACATAGTCACAGTCATGTGTTTGTGTCTTTGGAAACCAGGTGGCATAGCAGAGCCACAGGCCTGGGAAGGTATCATGGAAGGTTTTCCTCATGAGCTGGGCTCTTTTATATAAGGACTCTGCATAGACTCCTGGGATGTGCTGAACACCAGTCTCCAAGGTTCTGCTTTTGTGCAGCGATTTGTTGGAAGAAGACACAGCATGACTTCTGATGGTAGAGGCCCAGGGGTCAGTTTCTTGACTTGTTTCCATTTCCTTGGAAAAAGCAAGCTTGGAAAGATTTGCAGTAATTTTGCTGGTGTTGATCCATCTTCGTTCATTCCTTCCATATTCAAATGTTCACCTGGTGTCTACATGTAAGCACTATGCTTGGCACTTGGAGTACCAAAAGATGTGGAAGGTATGAACTCTGTTCAGGGGACACCGTGAGTGAACTAAACATTCCCACATAGCCTGCTAAGAGCTGTGTTGGGAAAGCTAAGGGCTATGGGTGGGGCCACCTGGTCCAGTCCTGGAGAAGTAGTGGTGAGTGAAGCCTTCATGGACAGGTAACATATGAACTGAACGTGGACAGAGAAGTAGTTGCTGACCAGGTGGTTTAGGGTTTTATGGCTCCTGAAGGTAGTGGTTCTCAAAGTGAACCACCAGTAGCATCAGCACATTGGGAATTTGGGGAATGAGTATCCCATGGTAGTTCTACTGAATCAGAATCTTTGGGATAGACCCCTGCCATTTGTGTTTTTACCAACTCACTAAGTGATTCTTGTGCACAATCAAGTTTGAGAAGCACTGTCTTAAAGGGACTAAGGGGAGCTCATTATGGTTAAAGCTTAAAGGACATGTGTGGGGGTTGAGAGTAGAAGGAAATGAGGCTGAAAGATGAACAGGGACCAAGTTCAGAAAGATCCCTGGGCCAAGAGTTTCAAATTACTAGCAAACATTCCAAAAACATGTGTTGAATGCTTTATATATTACAGGTTCTATGTGGAGACCTAGGGATGCGGGGAAAATAAAACACAGTTCTTGACCACAGGGAAGATCCAATCTAATAAAGGAAAAGGACACACATGTGATGGTGGTGGTGGTGGTGGTGGTGATGATGGTGACAATGATGTTGATGATGTTAGTGATGTGGTGATGATGTTGGTGGTGATAATGGTGACAGTGGTGATGATGAAGATGAAGGCCGACATTTATAAAGTACCTGCTATGTGCCAGATATAACATGAAGTATTTTGCAAGCATGAGCTCTTTGATTAATGGGCTATGTTGCATAATGCCTAAGCATAGCCCCATCATTGCCTTTGTCAAATTAAAAAAAAAGGATTACTTGCTTATTGTAGATAGTATAAAAGCTGTGGGAATCCAGAGAAGGGGTATTTGGCTTAACTGATGTCATGTAGCTCTCTTCCTTTCCATTTTGTTAGCCTCCCCATGAATCATTTCAGCGTTCAATCAAGTGACCCTTCCATCTTCTTCTTTTCAAGGTTCCCTGGTTTGCAACTCCAGTCATCTACCCTTGGGACCAGACCTTGGACTTGGTCCCAACTCAGGCTGCTGTAACGTCTGTAGTATATGTATCATAGGCCATCTCCAGTCTCTCCATTCATTCTTCTTTGCTGCCTCTAATATTTTCTTTAGTTGTGTAAGGACTTTTGCCTCCTTATGGTTTTACTTTCCTCCCTCTGTAATTTAGTCCAGTGTTTTTCAAAATTTATTTGTATGTTAATCACCTGGGGATTGTTCAAAGGCAGATTCTGATTCAGATTTTTCATTTCTTTTTTTTTCACTTAAACTTTTATAAATTCTTTTTAAAAAATTTTGTTAATTTTAAATATTTTTTACATCATTCTTAATTTTTATGCAATGTATGCTTTATCATCTTGGCTATAGTCCCTGTGGAATTCTCACCACCAATTTACCCGTGTACCATTACCATAGTCCCTTGTGTTCAGATTCTTCATTTTTAACAGGTTTTCAGGTGATGCTGCTGCTGCTTTGGGGAACATACTTGGAGCTGTGATCTTCTCCACCAGAGTGTGGCATGTCATTTTCTTCTCTTCTGCAAGGCGTCTGTGACATCCTTACCCCAGTCTTTCTGTCTATGTGCTCTCTAAGTCCTTAACATAGGAAATTCAACCATCTACTTTATCTGCTCATATGTCAAGGTATCTGAGCCCAACTAGAGAAACATCTACCCACTGAGGAGCCTATCGCCATGATGGGATGATGTCTTACATTCTCAACTGAGCACAGTTCCACTTAGAAATTCCTTATATCACTGGTTTGCAGATCTGAGTAGCATCACCTCAGATCACCTACTCTAAGAGACTCTGATTAGGGTGGAGGTGGGGTCTGGGCATTGGTATGTTTGGGAAAGCCACCCAGGTAATTCTGCCATGCACCCAGGGTTCACAGCCATCTAGTTATGTGGTAGAACCATTATTTGTTCTTCAGCAGTCATTCCAAAACTTTACCACTCTTTATTTCCCAACCCCATTCTCTAGTTTTCTCCTCATGGAAGATCATATCACCTTCTACATCAGAGAGATAGTTGGGGGTGTAAATAGACCCAAATTTCTGTTTCACAACTCAAATTTACTGGGGTATGCATCCATCCATGTATCCTTCCCCTTGGACTCAGTTTAAATGTGGTGCTGTCGCTCTGATAAAACTCATTCTCTACAGTTCCCTGAATCTTATCCCCACCATCTTCTAACTCTGCCAGCCATTCCACTTCTCACTTGCGTTTCAACCCCACTGCCTTTATTTGACTTTCTCTGCAGCACATGAGGACATGTCAGTGTCTTTCATTTTATAAAAACAAAGACTTCACACCGAAAATGTTAATGATAGCAGGCAAGCTGCTTCATAAACTTGATGGTGTCCATGCTGTTTAGTGGAGTGGCCCACCATCTCCAGCAGCTGCCTGTTTTTGGTTATACAGGGATTATGGATGGAGGCAGGTACCACAACTTTATGTAGCATAGTACAAAGCTGGCTTGGTTGAAAACACTTAACACTGGGGGTGCTCTCTTTTTGTAGGGTTTCCAGGAGGCCAGTAAATAAGAAACCTGAATCTCAATTGCTTAGGGGAGTTTCAGGACCATACCTTATACCTGGAACCTAGGGATGGTGGCACCTGATGGTTTTTGGGATCAGGAAATCCCTGTTCCCAGGTACCTCATAGCTACCACAACCCAGAGATTGCCATTGAGTCTGTCTTCAAATAATGTGTATATATATATATATATATATATTTGCCTTTCCAGTGGATTGCTGGGCTATAGGAATTCTTTTTAAGGGGAAACCTAGGATGCAATAAAGATGAATAAAGGTAATTTTACACCTTTTCTAAAAAGATTTATTTATGCATACAAGAATTGGGGTACAGACCAGAGGTGTGGGGGGTGAGAGGATTCACCAGAGACAGAGTGGGGAACAGACTAGGCAGACTGACTGAAATACATTGCTGAGGGGAGCAGTGGGCGAGTCAGGAGAGGTCTGCTGTGCCATGTGGGTAGCTCCCTGGCCAGGGATTGAACTTGTGCTGCAGTGGCTGTGGATAGCTTCACAGGTTGTGTCTTAACCGCTTGCACCATTCAGGGAAGCCCTCACAAGAACACCTTTTTAAAAAATTGTTTTTTAACTGGGGTAATATTGGGGTACCCCATTAGGTATTACACCATATGTAGTCACCACCAACTTACCCATATTCCTCTACCATAGACCATTGTACTTCCTTTCCTCTTTGTGTTCCTTCCTTTCCTTGGGGCTTCAATTCTCTAGTCAGCTATCAAGGGTTAGTTTTTCAGCTTGTCTTTATCTATTGATTTACTTACTTTATATTCCACATATTAGTGCCATCTTTCGTCTTTGGACTTATTTCACTTAGCATTATCCTTTCAAGCTCCATCCATGTTGCTGCAAATGGTATGAGTTTATCTTTTGATCGCTGAGTAGTGTTCCATTGTATATATATATATACCACATGTTTTTGATCATCTGTTCTGGGGCATTTAGGTAGTCTCCTAATTTAGCTATAGTAAACAGCACTTCAATAAACAAGGAAATGCAGTCTTCCTCTCTAATTAGTGTTTTTGAATTTTTTTGATAGATACAGAGGAGTGGAATTACTGGATTCAATGGCAGATCCATGTTTAATGTTTAATGTTTTCAGACATTTAATGTTTTCAGACATTCCATAGGGGCTGGCAGTATAAGAGGGTTCTCTAGTAATAAGTGACTGTGGACATTTTTTCATGTGCCTGCTGACCATTTTAGTGTATTCTTTGGAGACGCATCTGTTTTATTCTTTTGCCCATTTTATTTTGATTGGGTTGTTTGTTTTGTTTTTATAGAGTTTTAGGAGTTCTTTTATACCTTTGGTATCAGTTCTTTGTCAGATGTATGGTGTACAAATATTTTTTGCCATTCAGTAGGGAAGAACACCTATTTTTTGGTTTGTCTAGGTTAGTATGCAAATAGTGATTACATCTCTGGGAAACATTGACATCCCTGAGAGTAGGGATGTCATCTAGAAGGGTGAAAATGGGCGATTTTTGAGGGATGGTCTTAAATGAACCAGAGAACTAATCAGCACTTCCAGCTTATTCCTGGCAATCAATGGGGAGAGTTTAGAGATGGCCAGTTTGATACTTGCTAGGTAGTGCTTCAGAATTTAGCAGCAGAATATGGATTATTGGGTACTCCAAGTTTCAGGAGGCTTCTTGGATTCAGGTGGAATGGATCCATCTCAAACATGCTGCCTGCCCCCTCGGGCACACCCAGATCACTGTTTATGTGAGGCCTATTGCTTGGAGGAGAGTTTCTCTCACTTAGGACAATGGTGATAACGACCCTCCTTGAGGTCCCGTTCTAACAGTACTGTCTTTCACTGCTCTCCATAACTCCTCAATGTCTCCTGTTCTACAGGTGAAGAAATGGTGCTTCTGATTTTACTTCTGAGGGGATGTAGCTAATGAATGGGAGTTGGCTGGACCCCGAAGTTTATTCTTTGTCCACTAGCCCAAGTTTTTACTCATTCACTGTTTGGATAGAGTCACCATCTTGGCAAAGCATCCCAAGTAGCTTCATGTTCACTTACAGAATTTGGGGAGGGACTTCAGAGGCCACATCAGGGCACTAAAACACTTCTTGGTAAAATCAGTAACTTTAGTGTTCTGGTGCCATACCAGACAATCAGCGAATGCGGGAACCTCTACTTAATGGTGGATCACAGTCTCTTTCATTTTCCATGTGTTCCACCTTTCAGTTTTCCAAAACTCTCTCTCTCTCCCCCCGCCTCCACATATATATTTATATAATTTGTTAGCATCATACGTAATTTTTTTTTGCTCTAAACTTGACTAGCCTTCTAGAATTCCATGCCTAGCAGCTGGCCCTCGCAGTACTTATCTCTCTACTACTTTTAGTACAGATGTAATTCAATCTCCTGGTTCACAGCTGTTACCCAAATTGATTCTTCTGTCCTTTTCCAGCCCCCAAAGACAGCTGGTTAACTATCTACTCTTGCACCTACATTATGAGTTGTTTAAACATGTGAATACCCATGATTGGACTAACTTCCAATCTGATCCCAGGAAAGGAAGAGCATGTGCACTGATATTCTATGAAAGTCACTTTGGATTGCTTTTTATGTTCTGAATTTGATGTGATACCTGGTACAATAAACCACTTTCTTCTGTTGTGTCCTTTCTCACTCTTTCCCTTATTTCTTCCTTTCTCCTTTTGCTTCCCCATGTTCTGTCTCCTTTTGCAGTATCACGGCAACAGCAGCCAGTGTTGGGGCTGCTGGCATACCCCAGGCGGGGCTGGTCACCATGGTCATTGTGCTCACGTCGGTTGGCCTGCCCACTGAAGACATCACACTGATCATTGCTGTGGACTGGTTTCTGTGAGTGTCTTCAGACAGGACCTGGTGCTGTCTTCCCCTCACCTCCTGCACTATCCCTGATCCACGACTTTCATTCCAGCAGAATGTTAGAGTAAAAATTCTAAATACTCACTGAAGTTTAGACTTTTAGAGAGAAACCAAATGCAAGCCATGGCCTGGGGACCCAAAATTTCGTGCTTAATCTTGGGAAGTAGGGCAGGGAGAGACAAGCCCATCACCCCCCAAAAGCTGCCCTTTACCTGTTTTATGTAGACATCACAAAAAGGTGGTCTATGGGGCAGGACTGACTTGAAATTACTATTTTTTTTTTTAATTCTCAACTTCTAAAACATTAAGTTTACATTAAAAAAAATTATATTCCCCCTTCCCACCTGGGAGCAGTCAGCTGAACTGAATCCCATTTGGGTGGTTTCCAGCCTGGGCAGATTTACTCATGGTGGTTACCTTTCTCATCCTGTATGCTGTTTAACTCACTATCCCTAGTTTTTGATATAAGATGTTACATCTTAAAACAAAAAACAAAAAACAACAGTTGTATTGCTAAGATCAAATGCAAGCATATCAGAGTGGTCTAATCTGCAATTGTTAGGAGTACAAGCCCAGGACAGGGAGGGGGAGGGACCTACCTGAGATTATTTGGTTATGGGTTGGACTGAGCAGAAACTGAAGACAGAGAAAGAGCAGGACCTGCCTGGGTTTATGTGGTTGTGGATTGGACTGGAACATGAGCTCCAGCTTCTAGGCACAGGGACTTCCATGTTACAGCCTCTTCCCGATCGAACTCTTCAAGCCCGATTAACAGCATCTTCTCTCTCCTCTCCTCTCCATCAGTGACCGACTTCGCACGATGACCAATGTACTGGGGGACTCTATTGGAGCAGCTGTCATTGAGCATTTGTCTCAGCGGGAGCTGGAGCTGCAGGAAGCTGAGCTCACCCTCCCCAGCCTGGGGAAGCCCTACAAATCACTCATGGCCCAAGAGAAAGGGGCATCCAGGGGACGGGGGGGCAATGAGAGTGCTATGTGAGGGGTCCCCAGCTCTGATGCTCAGAGAGAAGGGAAGGGTGCTGAATGACTGTGCACTGAATACACATATTCTATCTGGGGGAAACTTAGATAAAGGAGCAGGAGGGAAAGGCGTTTAGGTCTCCATTTTTCTCTGAGCATAAGCTGAGAACTTGGTGGTTGGTAAGCAAGGCAAGGGAGGAAATGCTTCCTATGGGGGTGGGGGCAAGGGAAGCTTAAAGTTTAACAACATGAAGGGTCAACTCATGTTTCTTATTTTCTTAAGGAACTGAAGAAAGTAAAGGAAAACCACTATTTCTCATAATAAAATGGTGTCTATGGCCTCTGTGTTTGGGGTCCCCAAGACCACCTTCAGGTCCCATGATTTGCTAGCAGGACTCAGAGAACTCAAAAACCTGTGATGCATGTGTTTATGGTTTGTTGCAATGAAAGGAGACAGATTAAAGTTAGCAAAGGTGAAAGGTTTATGGAAAAGGGTCCAGGAGATAATAAGACATGAGTTTCCAATTGTCCTCTCTCTGGGAAATTGCATAGATAGCACTTATCCCAGCAACCATGTGTGACAACACTTATGAAATATTGCCAGCCAGGAAGCTCACCTGATCCTTAGTGTCCAGGGTTTTGGTCAGGGGCCTGTCACACACACACACACACACAGAGATACCTGCTGATTATCACTATGCATGTTCAGTTCCTCCAGAGGTCAAACTAACAGATTGCCTAGGGACCCAACTAAACAAAAATGCATTCACCATAAATCACACTGTCAGACTATCTGGCATGGTTCAGTGCTCCAGGTAGGTGAAGACACTTATCAGATAGGATACTCCAAGTGCTCAGAGGTCACCTCCTTATGGCCAGTCAGGAGTCAGTCCTTTCTTTGAGATGTGTAGGTTTGGAGCACCCTTAACAATCTTTATTAAACCTTTACTTCATATACCCTGTGGATGGGAATAGAGTAAGTAGCTTCTCATGGCAATGGGTAGTTGGGTCTTTTAGCCTAAACTCTTGACTCCTGAGACTGAGTGTTCCACCCCGCCTCCCCCAAAAGCTGGCCTGAGAGGATTCTCATGTCTATACCACACAACAAAGGATTTTAATCTCTTAGCATTATTTTCCTGAAGCCCAGTGAACCATGCGGGGCATTAAACGAAGACTTGGGGAAAACACATACTGTGTGAGTAGAGAGTAACATGCTTCTAGCTGTCATAAGTTTAACTCAACCTTTTTGTCCAGGAAACATGATATTTATTCTTTTCTAAATCAAATTAAACTTCATTTGGCCACTCACCTCACCTAAAGAGAGAAGTTTGATCACAAGTATATTGGGATGCCTTACTGGTATTCTTTAGGATCCCAAGAGAACCCTTGGGCACAAGCAATTGAGAAAACTTGGAAAAAGCGTCCAAAATTCTTTTATCTATTTGTGGACATATTTGTGGTCCATGACTGCTAACAGTTCATGCAAAGGCATGAAGTTCCAGTACTTATAAAACACACTACTATACATTTGACCATGGGAACTTTTCCTTATGCCAATCTCAAATGGGAATTTTAGTTTTGGCCCCACCCTACCCCACCTCATTGTCTGTGGTTTCTGTCCCAGTGGGCTCATTTATGGGAGCAGGATGTGTGGGATGCTAGGGTTAGCATGACAAGGTACCACAGAGTAGGGTGGCTTACACAACCAAAATTTATTCTTCCATAGTCTTCGGTGCTGGAAGTCAGAAATCAAGGTGTTTGCAGGCTGGCATCCTTAGAGACTTATCTTATTGGTTTGTAGATGTCCATCTTCTCCCATGGTCTTCCCTCTGTGTGTCTGGGTCATAGTCTTCTCATAAGGACACCAGTGAGATTTGATTAGGGTCCATTGGAACAATCTCATTATAACTTGCATCTTTAAACACCCTATTTCTAAACACAATGACATTCTGAGGTACTGAAATTTAGGATTTCTACATGCATTTTAGGACATTTCAGGCCATGAGATGGCATGATTTGCAATGTCAAGGGATTCACAACTCTGTGTCCTCCAATCCTTGGAAACACCCCAGCTTTATTTGCAAATCTGGGTTTTTCAAGAATAAAGTCTTTTATTCCCTGGGGCATGGGAAACAACACATTTTGGGGGAGGGACTGTGGTTTGAATTAGATAGTCTTTACATTCTTTGAAGTCCTTCATGGCTGCTAGAACAGACAAATGAATTTATCTCTAATCACACAGGTAATCTATTGTAAAGAATGTGGCTTGCTTTCTGGATTTGTTCTGAAAAGGTAAGATGGATGCACAGTGGGGTAGCCAAATACAGGCTGGAAGCCACAAGCAAGAGGATTGAATAAAGCTAGTGTCCACTTGTGTTACCTTTGACCTCAGGGATAGGGTATTCTGCAGTGGTCAGAGCCCCTGTCATGGATATTAACACACATACATGATCCAGGAGGGAGAGAGACTGAAGGAGGATCTAGGAGGAACATAGAGCATTTCAGGGTCAGTTACTGCTTCATGCCAATGATGCAAATCAGCAGATCACCATTGTGTCACCAAACAGCAGATGTTTCTGGTAACCCTCCATATATTCAAGAAGCTTCCCCATCATGTCTACTAGTTTCCTGTGACTGTTATGACACTTTACCACAACCTAGGTGGCTTAAAACACCTAATAGTGTTTTAATGCCTAATAGTTCTGGAGGCCAGAAGTCCAAAATCCATGTATCAACAGGACCACACTACCTCCGCACAGACTGAAGGCTCCAGGCTTCCTTGGCATAGGGCTGCATCACTTCTGTCTACATTCACCTTACAGGATTTTCTCTTCTTGGTGTCTTCTCCTCTTTTGTATGTTACAAGGATACTTGTGATTGGATTTAGGGCTAACCCAAGCAAACATTGATGATCTCATCTCAAGATCCATAACTTAGTTAACTGCAATGATGCTTTTTCTAAAATAAGATCACATTCACATATTCCAGGAGGCATATCTTTTTGAGGACTGACAGTGGAACCACAACATGACTCAGGAAATGTAGCCCAATATAGCTGAAGCAAAGATTTCAGTGGTCACAGAAAGTGGACACAGGAGTCAGGGAAAAGCAGCCACAAAGGGTATATTTATCAAGCCAGTCACCGCATGGTCATGTGGGGCTTCTGCTGAGGAAGGCAGTGTAATATATATGTCTCAGAGTTAGGAATTAGTCTTCTGTTAAGGAGTGATTCATGGGAATTAATTCTCTCAGCATGTAGGCAGAGCAGACTTCAGCAGCAGGGAATTTCCTCAGGCAAAGAGATGATGATACAAGAAATGGAAGCCAGACAAGATACACTGAAATGGTAAGTGGTGGTGAGATATCTTCTACATTAGGAGTCTGTATCCTACCTCCCTGGGATGCAGTCACAGAGGTGAAAGGGCAGAAGCCATTTTGTGATCGTGAGGGTGATGATCCACATGCTAAAGGTGGATGCATGATCCACATGCTAAGTAAGGGTGGTGGCCAGAAAAGTGGAAGCATCCTGAGTACTTTAGAACCAACTTTGGGTTGCTTAGAGCCAGAGCTCATATTTCTTGAGGAAACAAAAACCTCTTTGGTTAAGCCATTGTGAATCTGACCTCACTACTTGTAGCCAATTGCAATTTTTAACTGGCATAGAAGAAATTTTCCAGCAATATCTGATGGGACATCCTTGAAGAGGATTATATGAAAGACTGCATGCTCTCTTATAGAACTTTCTTCGATGACGGAAATGTTCTCTATCTGCCCTGTCCAATTTGGTAGCCATTACTTACACATAGCTTATTGGGCACTTCATATGTAGCTAGTATGATTTAGGAACTGAACTTTAAAAATTTATTTTAAAATATTTTGGAATTAATCAGCCACATGTGATAAGTGGCTACCACATTGTATTGGACAGCACAGTTATAAGTGAACTCTTTGGGGGCAATGATGATATTTTAGTAGTTAGGAGTGGGCAAGACATAGCTTGATCCCTCTGAAAGACTAAGGTGGTCAGCACCCCTGTCCCAGAGTGTAGGGCTCAAGTTTCTTATTTGTCTCTTGTCTATGATCAGAATGAAACTGAGAGTTTTTTTTTCATTTTTTTAATTTAATTTAATTTAAATTTTATTTTATTTATTTATTTAAATAATAAATTTTATTTTTATATTCCCCATACAATTGCAACCCCCCCATTCTGACCCCAGTCCCTCCCCTCCCGCCCGCCACCCCCAAAAAGTGTCTCTGGTTCATAGTTTTTTGTTGATTTTAATTTTCACTTTCTTACAGTTATTCATTTTCCTGGTCCTTTATTTAAGTTTTCTAGATTCCTGCTATGAGTGAGACCATCCGGTATTTTTCTTTTACTTTCTGGCTTATTTCGCTGAGCATGATCCCTACCAGCACCATCCATGTTGCTGCAAATTGCATGTGTTTATCTTTTTTGAATGCTGAGTAATATTCCATGGTATATATGTACCACATCTTCTTGATCCAGTCATCTATTTTTGGGCATTTGGGCTGTTTCCAAAGCTTAGCTATTGTAAATAGTGCTGCTATAAACATAGGGGTGCAGGTGCTCTTTGGAATTGATGTTTCTGTGTCCTTTGGGTAAATACCTAGGAGTGGAATTGCTGGATCATATGGAAGCTCTATGTTTAGTAGGTCCAGAAATCTCCACACAGCTCTCCATAGTGGTTGGACCAGTTTGCACTCCCACCAACAGTGCAGGAGAGTTCCTTTTTCTCCACACCCTCGCCAACATTTGTTGTTGCTAGTTTTTTTAATATGTGCCATTCTCACTGGTGTAAGATGGTATCTCATGGTAGTTTTGATTTGCATTTCCCTGATGACAAGTGATGTTGAACATTTTTTCATATGCCTGTGGCCATTTAAATTCCTCTTTGGAGAATTTTCTTTTTAGCTCTTCTGCCCATTTTTTGACTGGATTATTTTCTTTGTTTTTGTTGAGTCTCATCAGCTCTTTGTAGTTTTTTGTGATCAGTCCTTTATCATTAGTGTTGTGTGCAAAAATTTTCTCCCAGTCGAGGGAACTCTGTGTCTTTTTATTGAAGAGTTTAGTCCATTTACATTTAGAGTTAATATTGATATGTTAGCATCTGTATTTGCCATTGTGTTTGTCTTTCCTTTGATTTTATTTATTTATTCTTTTAATAACTTTTTTTTTTGGCCTTCTTTCGTTGTTATTTGTCCCTCTGAGGTTCTGGCTTTAGGATTCCTTGTAGTAATTTTTGGAGTGGGGGTTTAGTCGTAATGAAATTCCAGAGTTTCTATTTGTCTGGGAAGGTCCTTTTTCTTTCTTCA